GTGCTGTAATTTGAAGCTGCCTTGTGATCTTAGATGTGGGCCATAATAATGATGTTTTAGGATCGTATACAGGAAACTTGAGGCCAGGTTCTCTAAACAGAGGCCATGCTCATTGTGTTGTTGAACTTCTTGAGAAAGAAAGCTATTATACCTATCAATACAGTGTAAGAGGAAAATGTTGCAAATACCGTCAGCTGACCTTTTAATATATCCCATTAGAGGTCTTGAAATAGGTTTCAGGATCCTATCCCAAGTCTGTGTTGTCCAGGAGATGTTACCGAAGAACCCTGCAGCAGATGTTTTCGTTACAACCGAGGGTTTCCTTTTGAAGCATCCCAAACCAAGATCATGAGACTGCCGTTTCTGTACATAATTTTGCCCAACGTGAGGACGCCGAGTCAGTCTCCAGTTCTGTTCTGCTGCCTTTGCGGTGTCCGCTTGGGCCTCTTCCAGGGTGGAGCTGTCAGGGAAGTGCAGACAGATCCAGCATTCTCAGAGTAGTTTGTTCAGTGAGAAACTCTCATTCTTTGTGTACTCAGGTCACACTTTGCAGAGGGGCCTTATTAGGCTTTGTCATTGGGTCAGATGACCTCAGAGATCAATAGCCTTGTAAATTTGGAGCATAAATCTTGCAGGAGCTGTTCACCAAGCACTGCATGTATTTCTCCCCACTTCCAAGATCTGACATTGTTAGTGTCGCCAATCTCATGAGGAGTTGGAATATGACAGTTCTGCCCTTAACCTCATGAAAGTGACACCTTCCTGACACGCCAATTACTTGTGAGATGCAAACAAAAACAGACTCGTCCAGTGGGTTCCTCTGGGTAGTGTAGTAACTAACCAGAGGGAGTAACTGAAGACAGGTGCTGGATACCTGTCTCTCAGCCTTGGTTCTGACGGAATGCCTGGGTGTATGCCTCCAAAATGAAGTTTCAATGAAGAGGAGTGTTCTGAGTATTCAGATAACTTCTGTTTAGATTCGTGCCACTGCTTTTTCAGAATTTGAGAAATGTAAGAAGAGTAAATCTTAAAATGAAGCGCTTGAGATGAGTAAAAATAATATGGTGTTTAATGCTCTCCTTTTACTAATTCAGATTCATTGCCTGAAATAAAAACTTTTTATTCCTGCAGTAAATGGCTTAATATTCATTACCAGTTAATGCCATGTAAACTCATCCTATACCTTCATGACCCTTTCTGGTGTCTGTTTCTCCATTTGTAAATTCATAGAATTTAGTGTTAGTGTTTGTGGCTGTCAGGCCTGAAGTAACTACTTTTCGGTTGCTTCCATTTTATTCAGGAAGAAAAGATGATTGCCAAATAAACATAGGTAATTATCTTGACAATCTTGTAATAGATTAATAGTAAACAATAATCTACAAAGACATTATGTAGTTTTTAAAAAATTTTAAAATGCCTATATTTATCTAATTATACAAAGAAAAACTGATTTTTTTGATAGAGAAGTTTTAGAAATACACAGAGACATGTAAACAAGAAAAATGAAATCACCTTTAATTCTTTTATACAGAAAGGAGACTATTTGGTTTGTTTTGCAGTCTTAATGTGTATGTGTGTGCCATTCTATACAAATATATATGCTAATTTAAACAACTACTTTAGAAAGTTAGCGTGATCCTATATAGTTTTGTATTCTATTTTTAAAAAAACTTAATTATTAGCATTAATGCATTATGACAATTTCTATTTTTTCTCATTGAAAGCAGTCAATCAATCTTGTAAATGTAATTATATGCAAATCTTTCTAGGATAGATAATTTCAACAGTTTTAAGGCTTTTGATACAGATTGCCAAAATGCTTCCTCAAAATATCTGAACCAGTTTTTAGTATTAATCTTAATTTATTCTGCACCCCAATTTATTTTACAAAAATAAACAGTATTTTTCTATGTAATAGGAGAAAAAGAACTACCTGAGACATGAAATTCAGGTGATAATGTATTCCATTTTTAAGAACTAGAGAAGGAATATGGTGAAGGCTTTGCTGTTGTTGTTGTGTACTGTCAAGTTGTTTCCAACTCATAGAGACCCTGCAGGACAAGTAGAATTGCCTATAAGATTTTCTAGGATGTAATCTTTATGAGAGGAGCTCTGGTGGCTTAGTGCCTAAGGCATTTGACTGCTAACCAGATGGCTGGCGGTTCAAACCCACCAGCCACTTCTTGGAAGGAAGTTTGAGCAATCTACTTCCATAGTGATACCATCTTGGAAACCCAGGGAGGAGTCACTATGAGTCGATGGTGGTGTACAACAACACAGCAACAATTTTTACGGGAGCAGATTTCTTCTATAGAGCCAGTGGCAGCTTTGAACTGCTGACCTTTTGGTTAGCAGTCAAACACTTAGTCACTGTGCCACCAGGGCTCTTTTTTGAAAATGTAGTCTATTATTTTCAGCATTAAAAAACACACTGCCATCGAGTTGGATCCGACTAGCAATACTTGAATGTGTTATCATTTGAGGGTACATTAACTGTTTTGCCTGAAACCTGCTCATCCATGGGATATGAAGCAATGAAGCTGTATATAGAAATCCCGAGTACTGTTGACACTAATATGTAACATATGCATTATTGTAACATTGGCCTTATCTCCTTACTTTTTTCTTTTTAGGACATCCAGGCGGAAATTGATGCCCACAATGACATATTTAAAAGCATTGATGGAAACAGGCAGAAGATGGTAAAAGCTTTGGGAAATTCTGAAGAAGCTACTATGCTTCAGCATCGACTAGACGATATGAACCAAAGATGGAATGACTTAAAAGCAAAATCTGCTAGCATCAGGTCAGAGAAGTCAATATCGTAATAAAAATTATGTTTGGTGCAGTGTATTAGTGATTGTTCAATGCCAGAAGGGAGAGGAAATGGTTTTAAAATGATAGTTTTAGCAAGAAGCCCTGGTGGTGCAGTGGTAAAGCACTCACCTGATAACTCAAAGTTCAGCAGTTTGAACCCACCAGCCTTTCCCAGGGAGAAGATGTAGCAGTCTGCTAAAGATTTACTGCCTAGGAAACCCTATGGGACAGTTCTTTTCTGCTCAGTATGGTCACTATGAGTCAGAATCAACTCGAGGGCAATAGGTCTGCATAATAGTTTTAGCTCCATTCATGTCCAGTGTACTCTTCAACTGTTGGAGTATTTATAAAATGACATATTTTAAACCTAATAATTATGATGTTGTTATTCTGTTACCTAGTGCTGCTCTGACAAGAATATACCACAAATGGGATGGCCTTAACAAATAGGAGTTTATTCTTACAATTTGGAGGCTTTGAGTCTGAGTTCAAAGTGCCAGGCTCTAGGGGCTGGGTGAAAGCCCCTCAGCCTTGGGCTTCAGCTCTGCCTCCAGCTCCTGGCCCACTAGAGCTAAAGGTTTTTCTTCACTCAGAAGAAGCTACTGGCTGCTGAGGCTGACAAGCTCAAGGTTGACAAGTAAAAAGGCACAGTCCCGAAGTTACCAAACCACATGGCAGGCCATTCACTCAAGTCCATTGAAAGTCTCAAGGTTGGCAGAGCATGGCAGGCTGCTGAACAATGACATGGCTACATGCTGGGTTCAAGTGTGCCCTAAGCTAGAGACCATTCCCAAGGCTGCTTCTTATATACAGGAAGCAGACCACATCCCTAAGGCAGCTATACAGATGCTCACAGTAGATTCCACCATGGAGTTGATTACCAGTCTCATCGTGGGGAATACTATATCCAGCTGCCCAGCCACTCAACCAA